GGCCAGCTTGAAGGAATTTGGGGATTGGTGCTGCAAAAGGCCCCTTGGTTATCTAAGCATGTTCAACCTTTCTGAGGCGGATGTAACGGTTGATATCCCTATCAGGGACTATTAAAGCCGTATATAATATAAGCCTATATAAAACGAAATAATGGCTGTTAAGCCTTATCAGGCACAACTAAGCTTGTATCCTTGTATCTTAATACATGCAGGTCCCCCAATGCTACATTATTTGCATCTAATAATATAAAGGGCTATTAGCCCCGATCAACACAGATTAGGGCTGATTAGGGAAGTGTAGTGGGAAACAGCATCTAGAAACTCTCGAGGGTGCTGACGTCTAATGACCTAACAAGCTCCTGAAAATGCTTGCATTCTCTTTCCAAGTCGCACAATGCCTTAATATGCAATCTTGCTCTTAGCATCTATTTGCGCTCAAACCGAAATCCCGACACTTTCAAAACAAGGTTGGGGGCGAGCACCAAGAACCAAACGTACATCCGAGAGAGAATCTTGGAGACACTGTCCGCTACATGGTTTACGTTACCAACCACACATCCGCAATGTGAGGTGCAGTTTTCGTAAAATGTACACTGCTGTCAGCCCTGCTTGCCAACAAAAAACAGGCAATCGGGGCGCGGCAACGAGAGCAACATCAAAAGGATCCATTTTTCGCTTCATCTTCATCAGAGCGAAATTTCCTTGAAATTCATCTACCAAACAACAAATGTGGCACAGAATCCATGCCACAGTGGAGGTTCCATAAATACGCGCGCTTTGCAAGCACTTCCGAAGAGTCATGCTCTCATGCATACAGCCAAAACAGGTAGCAGGAGGCGCGAGCACAAGCTCGAGAGCAGTTTCAAAATCTTGCAGAGCCTGCTGTGTTTGTCGGATACTCATGAGTATTCTGCCGGGGGCACATGGCTCAAGAAATTCTTATAAGGCATAATCCTAAACTGGAGCTGAAGTCGGAGCAAAGGTGTGTGGGATGCGGAGACAAGGACGCCTGGATTGCCAAAAAAGCTCGGTTGGGCTTTTGGCTTGCGTGCAAAGAATTAGTGGCCTACCTGACTTTGCGTTGGATCTTATTACTTCATGTGTCAAGCAGCCATACAAGTTCTCATTCCTGCCGGCTCCTGGGTTGAGAGCTTTCGGACCACAACGGTGGCAGTAGCTCTTCCAACGAAGGTGAGTGGTGAGCAAAACACTGGCTTGGCATGCTTTCAACGCAGGGTATGTCAGCGCGAACTGCAGGTCCTCCTCATCAGGCGATTTAGGGAGTGAAGAGGGGAGATGTGCCGTGCAGCCTGAAGGAGCCCTGAAGCAGAGTCTAAGCCCCCCAACCTACTCGTAGCACGAAACCCCAGCGCCTGAACTTCAGGGCGCTCTCGGCTCCGTGTGCCTGCAGGACCACCTTGTCCGCTTTTCCATTGTGCCTCATGTTTTCCGAGCCCTGCTTCCTCGGCGGTTCAAGGCTGGGCTTAGCCTCTGTGATAGCACTGTCCAGTCCACATGAAAAGCTGCTAAATCCAAAGCCAGGACAAACCCAAAGATGAAGTGCAGCTTGCACGCATAGAGCCAGGTACCAGCCAGAATTCAGCAAGAATGCAAGAGGGTTACCTTAGGTGCATGCTGTGCACAAAGAAACTTCGCAATTAAACTGTTGATTAGTGGCCTTCCCGGTAGGTGTAAGCTCCCCAAACGGATATGGCTTTCAAAGCAGGGACCAGAGAGGAATTCAGATCGCGGGTCCCTTCTTGTGGACATACTCTGGACCATACGTGATTTTGCGGGGGTATGGGGTGCCTTGAATGTGAGAAGTACCCCTGTATGAATGGATTCCCAACCGAGGCGCAAAGGGTCGCTTCGTCTGCCGTTCGGATAAGAAATTGCCGAGTGAGGTTCAGTACGTTTCCGCTGCTAGGGCCTCCTGCAAATGAGGAGTCTAGTACATTCCCTTCTGCTATTTCATTCTCCGCGGTAGTTTTCGGACAACTTTTGAAGACGCCAGAACATGTTTAGGATGGTTGTCGTGAAGTATCAAGACTAGGGTCACCCCACACGGGCCAGAATCGTAGTGCGCTCATGTGGCGAAAGACCTGCCCCAGACAATGGAGCGCCATGGTTCTGGCAAGCAAGAAAGCCAGATGCGAATCGGAGCTTACACCTTGCTGCTGCACCTTGCTGCACAGGAACACTCGAGCCATGACATTGTGCTGTTGTGCCACAGCTGGGCTCCCGGAGTCCCTGCATGAAACAAGGTAATGCAGGTAATGCAGGTGCGACCCATGCGCTGCTTCCCGACTATACCTGTCTGTAAGTTGGTAGGGCAAGCCCTCCTGCGCAACTGTTGGAAAGTATCGTCGTTGTCTTACAGCGACCCATGCTTGAACAAATTGTGCCGTGATTCCCCAAGTGTTCGACCCTCAACCGCTAAGGCTGTTATATCCCCGCGTCTGCAGCATCACAGGCAGGCTGCTAGTGGCAGGGTAGCTAGGGCAGCGCACTTCGGATGTTTTCGAGTTTTTGCCATAGGGCACCAGCTGGAAAGTTTGCAAGCACAAGTTCCAGAGCTTGTTCTGTATAAGGGTCCCTTCCCGGAGTTGGCATCAGTGCCGCTACGTCCACAGCATCCTAGAGACCATGACTGTGTGACAACATTGTGGGCTTCCTGAGATGAGGGCTCCCAACAAGAAGACATTCATAGTCGGAAATCTCGAGGCGAAAGAGCAAACCAGAGCCATTCCAGCATGAGATCTACAGGTAGGATCACAGGTAAGAAGTGATCGGCTGGAAGGGGACGGGCCATAGCGTAGTGGCAATCACGAGAAGGTGGTTGGCAAAAGCTATGTTCATCCATGCCGGGATTCTGAGAGTGATCACTTGGAGGTGTCTGCATGCTGCATGCTGTTTGGACAACCCAGTCAACGAAACAGGACCGAATGACAGTCAGCGGTTCCATGCTTCCGGTGGTTCAAGCCCGAACGCCCCTCAAATCACTTAAAGAAAGCAGCACGGCCTGAGGGTTTGGGATCTATCTAGGTCTTCGAGAAGTGTCACGCTCGGAATCTTTTGCTAGGTCAAAGATTATTGATTGGTGTATCGCAGTACAAGAAGGGCACATTCAAGCGTTGAAGAGCATCATTGGGATAAGTGAGGGGCTGCATCAATCAAAGACCAAGCATTCTGTATGAATGCGGCTCGAGACCGGGGAATATGATTCCAACTTTGTATAGCTTCCCTGGCAGCTCTCGATTCTGAAGTGGTACCGCCTTACTTCAAACACGATGCGTTGCAGCCTCTTCTGTCCTGGCTTGTGAGGCGCGCCGACAGGCCATCCTATCTTCCGCTGGCCAGTTAGATGCCTCCTCACCGGGAGCCAAGGGACGGTATAGGCCAGGTACGTTTCAGGGTTCGGGGCTTGGAGGCCTGAGTGAAGCCCTGAAGCCGAAGGGGTTGAGTTGACATTATTAGTATAGGAACCCTGTCGATGACCTCTTCCTGCTTTATAGTCGAACAAACATGGTAGGGGTGGCGCAAAGAAGGGTTGACAGACACACCTCCGGGTGCAGGAGCTGGCATGTGACGCCTTCAAGGTACGAGCAGTCTTACCACACAGCCCCCTAGTTGTCTCCTGCTGGTGGTGGTGGTGAGGGCAGGGGTGGGGGTGGGGGCGGTGGTGTTGCTGGTAGTGGTCCTAGGTTATTTGCCGAAAGGACAGTACAGAGCGGCAACAACTAAGCTACAACATGACACTGCGACAGGGTCAACGAACACAAGCTTCGTGTTCGTAGCGCAGCTGCTGCCCTTCGCCACTCCCTGCCGGAGGAGGCCACAACATAGAGTACACGGCACACATATTGCATGTAGAGCTCAGGGTAGAGGGCATGGGATACAGGATTCAGGTATATGGAATAACATTGCAACCTCGATGTATGACGAGGCTTGCTTGTGTCCGTCACGGCCTGCAAGCATACGAATACCCATCAGTTGCTTGTACTTATATATATATGGTACCCCCCCCCAAAACCTACCTTTTGATGAAGAGGTCTCTATATACTTATCCTACATATATATATATACATATATACGCATATATGTAGA